TACTTTGAGGAACTTTCATATGAAAGAGTCATGGATATTTATGAGGCAGAAAAAGCTCAAGGTGTTATTGTTTCAGTAGGTGGACAATTACCACAAAATATTGCACTACGGTTACATGATAACAGTGTGAATATCTTGGGAACTAGTCCAGAGATGATTGATAGAGCAGAAGACCGATTTAAATTCTCGCAAATTTTGGACAAAATTGGTGTAGATCAACCTGAATGGAAGGAATTGTCGAGTGCTGAAGAAGCTGAAAAATTTGCTGACCTCGTGGGGTAGCTATTTATATTTCTTTTCCAACAAACATATTTTATATAAATATATTGCATGCTAAAATTCCTATTTTAAATCATAGATACCCTGTTCTCGTTCGTCCTTCATATGTGCTTTCAGGTGCTGCCATGAATGTATGTCATAACCGCGAAGCACTACACAAGAACCTTTTCGAAGCAACTTCGGTCTCTCCTGAACATCCGGTGGTGATCTCCAAATTTATACATGGAGCTGACGAAATCGATGTTGACGCTGTAGCACATAAAGGCAAGCTTCTGATTCATGCCGTTTCGGAGCATGTTGAAAACGCCGGTGTTCACTCCGGTGACGCCACTCTTGTACTGCCGCCACGTGATATTGACGAAAAAACAATGGCGCGATTGAAGGAAGTCGCCGAGAAAGTTGCCAGTGCATTTGAAATTACAGGTCCATTCAATATGCAAATTATCAAAAAGGATGTTCCAGGTGGTGAACCATTATTGAAGGTTATTGAGTGTAATTTACGGGCTTCAAGATCATTCCCATTCGTTTCCAAAGTGCTCGGCACGAATTTCATTGATGTTGCCACGCACGCATTGGCTGATTACAAAGTTCCCAAACCAGTTGACGTTATGATTGAAAAGAAAGATTATCAAGCTGTCAAAGTCCCACAATTCTCATGGACACGCCTTGCAGGTGCTGATCCGTTCCTTGGCGTAGAGATGGCATCGACTGGTGAGGTTGCTTGCTTCGGAAAAGATAAATACGAAGCATACTGGTCTGCGATTCAATCAACACAGAATTTCCGAGTTCCAGAAATCGGAAGTGGTATCCTCTTGGGAAGAGATGAATTTACGGATGAAGACGATTTCTATGCCGTAGCACACACTTTATCAAAAGATTTAGGTCATCCATTATATACTAATTCCGAAACAGTCACGAAGTATTTATCTAGACGTAATATTCAGGCAACAACATTGACTTTACCCGAGCAAAATAAACGTGCTCTCCAACAAGTGTTCCAAGAAAACAAGATTGATTTTGTTTTCAATCTCGCATCAATTCGGGCCAACACTGTGACTGATGAGAACTATATTGCCAGAAGATCAGCAGTAGATTTCGGTATACCATTGATTAATGACGCCAAATGCGCCAGATTGTTTGTAGAATCTGTAAAGAGAAAGCGTCAAGAGTTAGGTAGTTTATCAGTTGGAGAGCATCCTGCAGAAGTCCGAAGTTGGTCTGAATTCGTTGGTGGAAGATATTGTTAAGATTTATTTAGTATCAATCATTTTAGCAAGCTCATGTTTATCTTCAAAAGTATGTATATGTTTCACATTAATATTTTTAAAAAAAAAATTACAAAAATATTTCGAGAATTTTAAAATGAGAATGTAGTGATTCTCGATAATAGGGGGGTAGTTCATTAATTAATAACTATTATTAGAATTTGTACGTCTATTTCAAAGAAATTAAAAAAGCTTCGGGATTTCGAAATTATTTATCATGTAATTATATAAATAAATATTCTGATTTGAATGTATCTTTATTAATAATTATTTTACACAAATGCTTGACACGTAGAAATAATTTTTGTAGCATATAAAAGTATAACATATACTTATCAAGATTATAAATTGTAAAAAGTTTTATTTTGTTATATAATGTATTTCAGTTTTATTTAATTTTTTTAAATTTACAAATTTTATATAAAATGTTTCACAATTTACTTGTGCTATTATTTCGTATAAATTAATTTAACCAATTTATTTATTAATATCTTTATAATTTAACTTATAGTAACTTTTTTATTAATTAATTTAAAATACAGTATAAATAGTATACACTGTATATTGGTTTAATATTTAATTTATTATTTTTATTATAGTTGTAAATAAATACTAAATATATACAGTATGGGTAAAGATGGATTCCTAAATTATTTAGCATATAAAATTTCACTGATCAATTATGTTTCTTTTGAGGGGATATAATTATTTATTCATTATTTTAATAGGGTCATAATTCAAAAAACATTTGGATCAAGTGACCTAAATTGCAAAAAATCTTTGTAGTTTTTTTTGATTTTATATTTAAAAAAAAACTTTTTTAATAGTGAAAGACATTTAAATTATGTCCTTGCCTTATATAAAACAAATATATTATTGAAAAACTTTTAAGTAAGAAAAATTTAAGAAATTATTTTTATAAAAAATAAAAAATAAAAAATAAATTTTAGATAAAATAAAGAAATAATAAGGTATTATAATAATTATTAAATATAGTTCCTAAATATTACTATATAATTAAACATTAATATTATACAAGTTATATATAATTATATAAGTTTAAATATATAAATTTTTATAATTATTAAATTATATTTAATATTAATAAGTTAAATAATTGGAACCTATTTCAGTTATTTGTTATATTGATTTAATAGTTATTAAAAAAATATTAAAATATATTAATTATATGTTTTTTTTTTTTTTTGCAAATGAGCATTAGATGCGCGATTTTTATTAAACAAGTGTTTATAATTATTACATTAACAATCTTTACAAAAGTAAGTTAATTGTAGCCTATTGCAACTAAAATAACAATACCAACTAACACTATGTGAGTGGGTTGATACTGTTATTGCCAAATGGCTAATGCTCATTCAGAACAAAGAAGTTGATGTAGTGGAGAATATATTTTTATTAGTATTTAAGTGGTTTGATACTAATATATTTAGAATAGTATTGAAAACACTGTCATTATTTTTTGTTTGAGGTGATAAGGCAGATGCTTTAGTTCTTTTCCATTTTATTCCATCAGCGGGAGAGGTGGTTACAGTTTCAGATCTTTGTTTCCAAACCTTGTATAACATTTTTAAAGCCTTGTTTGAAATATCCTCTTTGTTTTTACTAATATTGTCGAAGGGATGGGGGTAATTTCCCAGTGCCATTTGAAAAATGTGGGATTCAGTTAGAGAACTTGTACTGATAGGTTGATGTGTATTACTATTTGTAGAGCTGATATCTGCTTGACTGGCTTGAATAAGGTCCATGAGTTTGGGCTTTTTCTTATTGAGAAATCTCTTGCTGTAAAGGCAGTGTATAATATGTTCCTGAGTTTCCTCTTCCACATCACAATGGAAACAAAGATTATCTAAGTATAATGTGGGGTATCTCTTGTGAAGCTTTGATCTTGTTGGAAGCTGGTCTGCCATTAGTTTAATACAAAAGGTAGAAAGGCCTCTGAATTTAATTTGGTCCGCTTTTTTGAGTTTTTTATTAGCTTTAATAATATTTTCAAATTGGTCAAAAGAATTAGGCTTGTAATGAGCTGATTAACTTAAGGTAAGGTCGTATAGATTTGTGTATAAGTTAATAAATTTGATCCAGTGTGTAATGGAAGTTGCATTGGTATGGTTTATAAATGGTGATGTGATGAATCCATCAGGTGGCAGAAGCGGAGGAGGCTGAGCAGTGATAGCAGAGTGAGTTATTTTGAGTAAGACTTTGTGTTTTTGCCAGGTGATTGAAAGATTTTTAGAAAGTATGGTTTTATTGATATGATTAATATGCCTTGAAAAGGGTATTTTTATCTATTTGTTGATATAATCAGGAAGGTGGAGGTCTGATAAACTGTGTATTTTACAAATTATATGTGAGCTCGGTGGTGATAAGGAAGCAACTTGGGACAAAACTGGCCATAAGCTGGTCCAAGAGTTAGAATTATTTATAACCGAATATTGAAAGATATTAGAATTAACATCTATAACATTTAGGAAAGTCGTAATTGTTGTTGTTACTTGGGGATGGTAATTATTGGTTGGAACTTGAATTATTATTTGTGAAAGAACTGTTGGAACTGGTGTAAGAATATTTACTAACTTACTAATATTGTTAAGAAGTTCATGATAATAGCTATATGTTACAGTCCAAGTTGATCTAAGTTGACTTAGGTAGCGACTTTTGGTACATGGTTGAGTAGAGCATAGACATGGAGTGATGCATTTGTTGTTAATGTCCAGAATGTGATGTGTACCATTCATTAATGGGCGTACTATGGCATTGCTTCTGGTTTTAATAAAGTTGAGGTTGTTGTTTTCAATGTAGCACCAGAACTTTGGTTTTGGATTAGGAAGTGGCAAAGTGTTTTCTTGGATTGGAGGTGTAATATTTGTAAGGTTTGTAAACCAGTTCGGTATTGGCCTCCTGGTTATAAAGCCTTTATGAATATGTAATTCTTTCCAAGTGAGCTTGGAAGAACTATTGAAAACCATTATATCATGAAGAGTTTTGATATTGTAGTGATAAAGAGACAAGACAGTTTTTTTGTTTAAGTTGGTGATGCGGCCTATTGACAGTTCGTGGCTCTCTATATTGAGAAGACATGGTGAAGAACATAAGTTAATTTTGAATTTGATAGTGACACTAGCTGCTTGTGTGATCCATGAGCGTTTGAAAAGGGTGGGGTGGCATAGAGGACATGACCATATTGCATGTGAAGCTTGTATTGATCTAATTTCCTGTATAGTGATTTGAGATGTTATTGGATTAACAAGTCTCGATGCCAGTAATTTGACTGCTGTTAAATCTCTTCTGTTTTGAAGTTTTACAATATCAAGTCCAGCTTTGGAGTGGAGAATTCTGTTGGAAATTGTACGTTCAACACCTAATTTTGACTTAATAGCTTTATTGAGTTTGGCTTGGAGAAAGCTGATTTCGCTATTTGTTGCAAAGGATATATGTGTGGCATAATCTAATTGTGCTGGAACTATCCAGTGAGAGACTTGTCTTGTAATTGCTCCATTTCATGCTTTTTGGATTACAATAGCATTGGTAAAATTTGTCACCTTCTCAATAAGTTTTTTCCTGGTTGTGAGGTTAGAGGATTTTCCTGAAAGAAAAATTTCCAGATATTTGATGGCTTCATTATATGGTTTGACTTGAATATTTTCCTCTTCAACCTTGAGCATTTTTTGCCGCTTTGGGTTTGAAGGTTTGAGATTTATAATAAGATCTGTTTTCTTTTTGTTGCATTTGATATGGTTAAGTTTTAAAAATGAGCAGAAGATATCTGTAGCTTTTTGTAGGTTATCAAGACTAGAGCTTGTGATCGCGGCATCGTCCATATAAGTCAGAATTCTTGCCTTTCCTAAAAGATCTTTGGAAATTTTTGATACCATTGGATCATAGAAAATTGTTCAGAGTAGCGGAGCCAATGTTTTGTCTTGATCTATATCATTGTTAACTTCAATGGGATCAGAGATTTTGTAATATGTTATTATATTTAATCTACAGTTGTGCAGGAGGTTTAAAATTAATGATATAATTTGTGGAGGGATTTTGATTTGTTTCAGGGCAGCTTCCAAACTTGAGAGGTTTACAGAGTCGAATGCTTTAGAAATGTCAAAAGAGGCGAACCAATGTTCATTGTTGAGATTATTTGCAATTTCTAATTCAGAAGATATAATGGCAAGAGGTTTCATGGTGCTTTGATTTTTGAGTTCTGTGAACGAGTTGTTTGATATGATATTATTTTTGGAGATAGTATTTGAGAGTCTGTTGTTTATTATTTTGGTGAATATTTTTCTGCTGGTTTCAATCAGAGAAATAGGACGGGTATCCATTAATTCATGTGACCATATTATTTTCTTGGGTAGTAGTGTAACTATAGAGTGCTTCCAGTGATTAAGTGGGATGCTGGAATTCAAAACTGAATTGAATAATCTCTTGATGTGTTTCTTTGCTTCAGTGCCCAGATTAATCCAAGCTTCATATGGGATTAGACTAAGTCCGGGAGACTTTTGTTTAGGGAGAGATAAAAGAGTTTCATTGATTTCGTCAAGAGTAATTTCCACTATGGTGTCATGAAAAATGCTATCAGAAAGGGAACTTTTGGATGTATATTCACTTGATCAGAGCAGGTTCAAGTCAAATGGTTTGGGATCCAAAACTTTTTTGAAATGGTTGGTAATAATCTCAATTAATTTATCTGGGTCATCATATAGCTGATTACCATTAGAGAGAATGGATAGGTCCAAAGAGGGTTTAAGATCTCCTAAGGCTTTTTTGATTGCTGCTTTGGGTTTTTCCCAAAAATTGAGGAAATTTTTTTCTATTTGATCTCTAATTTCATCAATGGCCAAATTGCTTGGCCTTTTCCATTTTTTCCCTGAGAAGGATTTTCATGACCTTCTTGAGGGACTTGATAGATGGAGGACTGTTGGTAATATTATTGTGTATAGTGGATGCAATTCGGGGAAGTTTGCCTG